GGTGGAGAGGTCCGCTTCAACAGTATTGTTTAACCAAGGTGAGACGGAGAATCGGTGAAAAATGGGAGCTGTAGCTCGATGCAGGCACGTGGTTGAGCGTCCTCAACCACTTCCCTTCCAGTGACCCAGCTTCGTTGGATCATGTTAGTCACTGGAAGCCTGACCCCCCTGCAACATGAAATCCACCGAAGGTGAATTAGTCTATGCAAGCTCCTTAGAAACAGGCGTGGGCACACACACAAACACACACTCTCTCTCTCTATATTTATAACATAGCAGATCCTTTTTGCCTATCACCCATCAGTAGTGCCCAGCCACATATATACATAGATGGATGCCTTTGATTTTGATAGCTTTTGCGACTGTTTGCTCTACTGAGGATGGAGTTGGTTCACAGCCACATGGCACAAGTTAAAGACCGCCCAAGTTTGATCCCAATTTCTGACAATCTCTGAAGTGCCTAGTTTGGATTTCCTTTGTTACCACCGCAGTCTCTGAGCTGTTGACGTTTGCGGCTTTCCCTCTCGGATCTTTTGCTCAGGCTGGGAACTGCTGTCAGGTTGAGGCACTCATACGTTGTCTCCTGCGAATCCGTGGAGAAGGACGAGGCTGGAAACGAATCTTGGCTGCTTGAGTGCCACACCATGATTGATTGATGGAGTGGCATTTGCAATGCCAAGGTGGTTGAAATCCACGGGCGATGTAACTATGACAGCCTTGGTGTGCCAACAGCCCTTGACGGAGTGGGCGAGGGTCCCAAAGTCGTGCCGCTCGTCTTAACGGGGCAGTGCGGGTCTGGGCAAAAGACGAGGGAGGTTTCTGCAGGAGGCCTTGCGAGGCTTCCTTTTTTGAGTGCCCTGCCCAGGTCTTGGGTGCATGCCTCTCTTGACAAGCATCTGCAGGCAGTCTCGTGTGAACTCTCTCGTTTGGTGCAAAGATGAGCCTCTTTGGCCCGTGGCGCTTGCACGGTCTCGTCGCTCCCATGTTGCTAGGTCCCCCTGGTCGAAGGGCCTGGGAATTTTGTCGCTACCTACTGGCCCCCTGGAGCCGGTAACGCAGAGGCAGAGACTTGACTGATCATTTTGGGGAATGTGCGATGCATCTACCAAGAGAGACCCACCGTGGGCCGTGGGCCCCATGACAATCCCGCAATGTTTGCTGAGGTGCCGGAGTTCAGTATGCTGTGTGAACCATGGCTTCGGAGCTTGGCATCTGTTACTTGTCAACCAAACGCGCACACTTGAGAAAGAGCTCCAAGGAAGAAGATTCTGTACGATATATACAATATACACAAATAGTTACAGCATTACCAGACGACTAGAGCGCTCAAAACCTGTGACCTTCGAAATGGCCCTGTGAGGAACAAAAAGGTCAGAAAGTCGGCTAAACTTGCTAAAAAGTATGGTTTAAATCACTGACATCTGCGGCTAGGTTCAGAGAGCGTCCTCTCTGAATATCACGTCTTTGCCGCCCCCCTGCAATGATCTGTACAAAATTGGTAAACAGAAGGAGCTGGATAGGTAGTAGCAGGTATATAAAGCCCCTGGCACACACATTTGAGATAAGTGCTCCGTGGAGCTGAACTTCAGTGTTTTGCGGTGAGCATTAGCACTTTAAGATTAGTTACTGCAATACCAGATTAGAGCGCTCAGAACTTCACCTGTGAAATGGCCCTGTGAGGAACAGCAAGGCGACAAAGTCCAAGAGCAGTATTGTTTAAATCATCAAAGTGACTTGAACAATTGATGCAGGTACACAATGCGGCGTCCCACATTGCTTCACCACGAGCTGACAGTGTCTTCATTGGGCAGTGCCTGTCAGTCGCGCCCCCTGCATTGGTGCTGCACACTCTGCGGTAAAGTTACTTAAAGCAGTGGTAGAAAAAATAGTGTCCCTAGGTAAGGGAGGTGATAACACACACACACAAACACCTTCCTATCTTTGCAATGCCTTAGCGCCTCAGGCCATACTAGCCCAGTTCTGCTTGCCATTGAGGTGAACGGCTATGAAAATTTGGGTCAGGCAGCTGTGGACACAGGTGGGAAACTTATGCATTTCTCGAATGTTTGTGTGTGTGTGCGCTGTCTCTCTGTCTCTGTCTCTGTCTCTGTCTCCGTCTCCGTCTCCGTCTCCGTCTCCGTCTGTCTGTCTGTCTGTGTCCGTGTCCGTGTCCGTCTCCGTCTTCGCATCTGTCTGTCTGTCTGTCTGGTTGGTTGGTTGGTTGGTTGGTTGCGTTTCTTCTTTCTTCGGTGAACTTCAGTGGAATCGCCAAGGCGTTCAGCTGGAGCGCCTGGGGCGCTTCCGTGTTTGCTCACTGCCTGAGAGGCGCATAGCGCTGCAGTGTTTGTCCGCTTGGCGCCCGAAGTTCTGCACGCCGGCAAAGCCATCAAAGCGCCAGCGTGTACCGGATGCGGTTCTAGCTGCTGCAGCTGCAGAAGCAGCTGCTCGAAAGGAGGCCATGCAGAAAGCGTCTGTGGACTTTGCACGCTTTGCGTTGGAGGAACCTTTGCTTATGGTGTGTGCGTGTGATCGATGGGAGAGGGTGCTGGCACTTGACCTGCAAGAAGCGTGGCAAAGCACTGACTTTGTGAATGTGTCGGTGGAGGAGATTGCACCGGCACTGTTCAGGATTCGAGGTCCAGTCCCACCCATGCCGGCCACTCCGAATCAAGCTCCTGCGACGGAAGATCAAAAGGAGAAAATTCAGATCTTGCCCGAAGGAACCTTTGACAGAGAATGTGTCTGGCATGCTGCTGGGATCCGACGCTGCCTTCAGCTACTGACCTTGCCATTAAAGCCAGCGGAAGTGATTGAAGCTGCGGCAAAGCTGAACTTCCCCGATGGATGGAGCTTGGAGCATGAAGGGCCTCACCCAGTCCGCTATGAGTCCCTGGCTCCATTCACACAGTCGTCCTCATTCCTGGCTGCTGGCCTTGGGCGTGTCATCTCGGGACCGATCCGACCATCTCCAGATGAGACAGACAGACATGCCTCAGCAAGACTAGTGACGGTGGAGATGATCAATTCTGAAGGCTTGCA